TCCTACCCCCACCACCAGGTTGCAGGGGTCAGCTCCCAGCCCCCAAAGGAAGTGCCTTCTGTAAGGTCCCTGTGGCTGCACCTCCTTCCTACTGACTGAACCCACTCAGCACAGCTGAAATTAAACAGGTCTGGGGCTCCTCGTGCATAAGAGTGGCCAAGGGACACAGTTCTGGCCAATGAGATGTAAGCAGGAGTGATGAGTGGGGCTTCCAGAAAGTTCCTTAGAAACCTCTAGTCCCCCATTGCCACACCAAGCCTCAGTAGGCCCAGTTTGGGGCCCTGGCTTTCCCTCACCCCCACCCCCACTGCTCAGTCAGCAGGGCTGTGGGGAGGGCCTGCCTGGCGACCTTGGGTGAGAGCCACTGGGAGCCAGGAAGGGAAAGCTCTCTGAGGACCCAGCCAAGCCGGGACCAGCCCAGCTCACCGACCTCCGCACTTCTTAATATGTGAGAAAAAATAAACCTTGATGTGATTCAAACTGGAATTTGGGTTTTCTGTCACCTGCAGACTTACCAATTCCTAAGTTATAGGCCGTGCACACCCAGCGTCCGGGGCCCTGAGTCCACCGAAGCTAGAGAGGCTTAACCCTTCATCCCTGGGCCTCGGCCCACGCCGCCCAGTGCCCTCGACAGAAACTCGGGAGCCCCGCAGCCTGAGGCCAAGGCGTCGAGGCCTTGCTGCCTCGAGCCATCTCTTTCAGGAACAGCACCTGCCTGCACCCTCCACCTGTAAATGAGCACAGGCGAGGCAGCTGACCCAAACCCACCTCAGCCAGCCACCAACACAGGCTGTGATCTGTGAACAAGCTGCCCTCCTCCTAACGATCACGGCGTTAAACACAAAGGAAGGGCCTGGCTTGGGGCTCAGGTGGATAGTGCCATCCCCATACACCAAGACTGTAGATTGTAGGCGAGACCCTCGATCCATCCTCGGTCGGGGCACTTACAAGAATCCACCAATGAATGCAGAAGTGGAGAAACAAATCTTTCTCCCCCGCTTCCTCTCCAATCAATCAGTAAATAATTTTCAAAATANAGCTCCCTCGCTAGTAGCAGAACTTTGACAGGGATTGGGCTCGTGGGTTTGCTGAATTGAGGGGGGATGGCCCCCACATGGGGCTCTGGAGCATAAATCCCAGATTGAGGCAGGGGGCAGCCTCCTGTCAGTCAGTCTTTGGCTTCCTGCTGGTGTAGGGGCCACAGTGCAACCCCTGATAGAGAAAGGGTGTAAGCTGTTCACAGGCCACACAGCAGTGGGAAGGGGGCTCCCAGAGAGGAGCTCTGGGCAGAAACCAACAGCTTCCACTTCACACAAGCGCGCGCGCGCGCACGCACACACACACACACACACACACACACACACCTTTGTGTCACCCTGGCTGTGTTGCCATAAGTCTCCAGAGGGTTATGGGAGGAGAGGGTCCTCGGTGGCCGCACTCTGCCCTCCCCGACCTCTCCCAGCTGGAGCAGCGCTGTGTCAGCTTCCCTGGGACTAGTCTTTGTGCGAGGAAGGGCCAGGGAGGTAGAGTGCGTCATAAATCAGAGTGGCAGCCCCGGTCCCCGAGGACGAGGCTCAGCCCTGACCTCAGCGCAGGCTGGAGGGAAGGTTGCCAGTGGCCATTTGGAAAACTCTGACATCTTCCAGCAGCTGAGAGGAGAAAACAAGGTTAGTGGAGCCCAGAGCCATAGTCCGGCCTCTGCCTAGACGGTGTGTGCTCATCCCCAGAGCTGTTTTGACTTCTGGTTCTTGAGAGGTAAAGAGAAGGCTCCCATTTCACAGCTTGGACAATACAGCCACTGTCCGCAGCGCTGTGCACACATGGATACAGATTCCCTTCACCTTCACCCCAGGCAGCTTTCTCAGCCTCAGAGCCACTGACATCTGGAGCTGGTAATGCTTGGGGGACGGGCCTGTCTTGTGCACAGTAGGATGTTTGTAGCATCCCTGGCCTCCAGCCACTAGCTGCCAGCCATACCCTCCTCCCATGTGATAACCAAAAGTGCGTCCACACTTTGCAAACTGGGAGCAAAGTTGCCCCAGGCTGAGAACCACTGAGCCAGGCAGAAGGGAGGGGCATACCCATTTTACAGGAGGTGAAGTGGAGGCTAGGAGAGGGGACAGAACTTGCCTGAAGTCCTAAGAGGGAGAGGCAGTTGACGACTCAGGACAGCCTGACACCAGAGCCGAGAGTTTAACCCAGACCAGTGCCCCAGGCAAGGGGCATCCCCCCAGGGCTGGCCCCCAACTGCTCCTGTCCCCTCCTCCCCTGCAGTGAGGGGCCCTGGGGAGCCAGGCTTCTTTGGAATGGTTTTGCTGCCAGGGGAAATGCCTGCCTACCCGCCCCGCCAAGGCAGCCTGGCCCCGCCCCCACCTCCCCTCTACAAGAGCAGACCGCTGGGTCGGCAGATTCTGCCTCTTCTGCCACCATCCAGCTGAGAGGCGGTTTACGGCACCCGGGCAGGAGGCCGGCCGGGCCAGGCTGGAGCAGGCAGGGGTGAGGGGGGCTCACCCCATGCGTGCACCTTGCCCCGGTCTCAGCACTTTGGGCTGGGCCAATCTCCCCCACCCCATCCCCATGGGACTCCCATCCCATCCCAGCACATCTCAGGCCACAAGAGTTGGGGAAAAGCCCAGGGGAGAAAAGCTTTACTTGCTAATTTCTTCTTTTGAAACACAAATCCCGGCTGTAGGGAAGTTAGATTCAGAAAAGCGAGGTGATGATTTTTAAACTAAAATCACCCACAATCCTCCATCCAGAGCTAATAACTGTTACTGATCCTGATAATATGTCTCAAATACTTTTCCATAAAACACACCCGCACGCCGACAGTCTCCTGCATTTGTTGAGCCCCCTAAGCTTTGGGCTGAGGGCTGACATCTCTGTTTCAAGAGTGTGAGCTGAGAGCAGTGAGCTGAGAGCGGGCTCCATTCACATGGCCATCACCCGGCTGAGAATCCTGGGGCTCCCACAGTGTCCTGGCTGCGGAGCAGAGGCACCGCACCCAAAGACAACTCCGGTGACTTAGGCAGAAAAGGACATTATTTGAAGGCTCTCAGGATGCTCAGACACATGTCAGGGAAACTAGAGGCATAGGGAGGGCCCCAGGAAGCCAGAGCAACACCCAGCATCCTGCCCACAGTGGCCAGAGCGCCCCCTGCTGTCCCTTTGGCCTAGGTGCTGCCTCAGCACTGCCCTCGTTCCCAGGCCTGCCTCCAGCTAGCAACCCTGCCTGCCACTCTCCCTATCCCCCCACCCACGCACCCCTGTGCCCACCCCTTCCTATCTAGCATTCCCCACTCTATCAAGGGAGGTGGGGTGTCTTTCCCCAACCAGAGAAAGGGCACAAAGAAACTATGAGAGCACAGAGAGGGTAGGCAAGTTGCCCAAGGTCACACAGCCCAAAAGAAGCAGAGTCCAGATGCAAATCCAGTCTCACTGCACAGAAGCTCAAGCTTATAACACTGAGCTGCACAGCTGCCCCCTTTGCCCTCTATTTTATTTACTTTATTTTTCAAAAGAATAGTTTATTGATTTTCTTGAGAGAGGGAGAGAAAAACAATGTGAGCGCACAACATCGATCGGCTGCCTCCTGCATGCCCCCCACCAGGGACCGAGCCCACACCAGGGCATGTGCCCTGAACGGGAATCAAACTGACAACCTCCTGGTGCATGTGATGATGCCCAACCAACTGAGCCACACCGGCCAGGGCTTATTATTATATTTTAACAATAATCACCCTTATATACGCCCTTCTTAAACCTACTTTATAACATTAAGCAATGTATCCTGAATATAAAAGACCTTTTAAAATAAGAAAGGCAGCACTCCACCCTTGGGTTTTGTGCCCCTCCCCCTCCCCCAGTGTCCTCTTCCCCACCCAGAGCCAGGGGTCTGCTGGCCACAGGACCCTGGCTCCTGGCAGAGATTTCCCACTGCCTGACCCATGCTCCCCTCGGGCATGATGGGGTCTGGCCAGGCCCCCGAGTCTCCGTGGCTGTGTTCCTGGTGGCACAGTTCACAGCTGACCCAGTGCCCATTTTCCCCTGAAAGGGAAGGTGGTCCCAAAAGCAGAAGGGATGGTGGCGAAGGGCCACCTGGGTAACCATGGGCAAGTGACTCCGTCTCAGCACCTCAGTCTCCTCATCTGTGAAACGGAGATGTTAAAGTCCCACCGACAGCATAGGGTGACGGTGAGGGTTAAACAAGTCGGTGCCCTGGTGCTCACTACACTGCTGGCGCATTCTGTCAACATGCCAGCTGTGCCCACTTCCTCTCCCCACTCCCCAAGTGCCTGCAGGAGCCCCACGCTCTCCATGCAATGCAGGGCGGCGGTCCCCACCAGGGGGGCGTGGAGAGGCCCCCCTATCAGTGGCGTCCTACTCCTATGCTGGGTGGGCACTTCGACGCCGTGTACTTCATCATCGGCCTTTCGCTTTCCCTCCATCTTACACACTGGGGGAGGGGATTTATTCCACAAAACGTGGTAAGAGCTGCCAGTGTGTGCTGATCGGTGGCCTGAGAATCACCATGGACATACGCAGTCCCCGGGTCACAAATTTAGCCCCAGCTTGCTAACCTTAATTCACTTGGCCCAAGGCTCACTAAATCAGAAGTTCTAGGGTAGAGCCCAGGAGCAGGAGGTTTGCAAAAGCTCCCCGGTCACTCCAAAGTGCACCTGTGGGTAGAAAACTCTAACGATTCTGTTTGCAGCCTTGCTGCCTGGAGCTCGGGCTGCAAGGACCAGCGGCACATGGCCGTCGCGGCGGTGCCCAGCACCCCGCCCATGGGCACCGTTTATGCCATCTGACTTGGCCGGTGCCTTCTGTGCAGGAAGAGCGACAATAACTCAACTCTTTTAGAGTGATGGAGGAGCCCCGTGTGCGAAGAACCTGCCTCATGGTGCCACACAACACTATAAATTCTATTTAAGCTGGAGCTAAATTCCAGTTTCTTTCCTGAATTATTTATCCCTCAATGAGTGGGAAACCCACGAGGTGGCAGTGACTGCGCCTGAGCTGGGCGGGAGTGACTTTAGAAATCATGGCTCCCACTGTAGCAAATTCCTCCAACACGGCCCTTGCAGGGTGCACAGCTCTCATCAGGCCATTGGGTGAATTTTTTAGGCCCATAACCCCCAAATACGTCACTTGACCCTCCTGGGAATGTGGACAGGCATCTGGAATAAGCAAGCAGCTAGTGAGGCTGTCTGCTCACTCACCCTGGGGACACTCACCGAGGCTGAGGGCACGTGCCTTCTAACGAGCACAGACTACAAGGTGCAACTCCCTGAAGTTACAGCTTTTACAGAACGCATTCCACTTCTGACGTGTCCGTCAGCATGCAGCTCTGACAGGGACATCTACACTTGCCCCTCCACTGACGGGGCCCTGGGAGCTCCTTTCATAGGCTGCTGTCCATGTGCCCCCCAACCTCAGCCTAGGGGGAGCACACACTCCTGCTGGACCAAGCTGCACTCTCTGAGGCACCACCACGCTGCCCATGCTGCCCCTCATCACCTTATGAACAAGACCCCAAAGAGGGTGGGGAGCCAGGGAGTGGAATGGGGCTGGACAACAGGTTTGGAGAAAACAGATCCCCGCCAAATAACTTCAGCATGGCAGCCCCGGTGGATCACCTAGGGAGTGTGTTGTACCTTAGTTCAAACACAGAGAATTCCTAACCCATGTCAGTTGTGTTTCCACTTTTTAATTCTGCTATTTTCTCTTAAAATTTAAGTTTTAACAAAGACAATAGACCTAATGTTTTCCAAATCCCAGCTAGGAATTCAGAGCATAGAAAAAGTCAAAGCTTCAGCAAAAAACTATAATGTGCACAACTAACTTTAGAAAACAGTTTAGGTACATTTTGGTTATAAAACTCACAGATTATTCACATGTACTTATCAAAATTCTGATAATACATGAAAACTACAACTCAATAAACTGTGCACAATAAACCCAGGACAGATTACATAGGAAAAGCAAAGTTGGTAGAATATATTCATGTGGGAACTGACACTGAGAGAAGGCAGGGCACTTAGAGGTGTGACGCCTCGGCCAGGATGAAGCAGGCAGCCCTCTCCACCTTGCCCGTTAGCTTGACTGCGCGTTACCAACACGGCTGGGACAGCCACTTCAAGAGAGGCCACACAATGCATATGGAACGCTTTATGCAAATGCCTTTACCAACTGAACAACAAATGGTTTCAAAGGCAAGGTCAGGTATGACCGTGTTCTGCTGGGACAGGCTGTCAGGAAACAGGCTTGTTCCTTGGAAGGATTACGCGGGTCTCCAGCTACACCAGGCACAATCGGGCCGGGGAGCCACAGGTGAACAGAGCGCGTGAGGACAGGCATCCAACTGAACCGGAAAGAACGCCGTCGGGCCGTCGGGCACGGCAACAAAGCACGATCCCAGGAACACCTGTTTCCTGAGCTGCCTGCTGGAGAAGCAGTCGGTGACCGCCTCACCCCAGCAGCTTTGCCATGCCTCCTTTACAAGGTTACAGTTGTCAGACTACACTGTTGTCATCACTCCGAATATCTGCTAAATTGAGCATTTCACCAGGACAGCAGGAAAGTAAACTTAGAGTAACAATGAGATTTCTTGCCCAAGGCACCTGTGGGGAGCTTATGGAGCCCCTGCCCCCACCCTACACTTTCTTTGGTGGCACAGCCAAGGATGGACTCTGCCCCCCCAGAGAAAATGTGCTACCAAGGGACAGGGGTGCTGTCTGGACACCAGTGAGAACACAGGCAATGAGAGAGTAGAATGTTTAAACTCTGGCCACCAAACATTGCTTTTTTAAGAACTCTTAGTAACGTGCTTCAGTAGAATTTCTGACTAACACAAAGCCCTTTTTGCTTAAAAATCAGATGGCAAAGTTCAACTGGCGCACACTCGTCTTTGGGGTTTGTTTTCCTACCCCAAGTAGCTAGTGGGCTGGAGTGAAGTCCCCCAAACCCGATTTCAACAACTGTCAGCTGCCACTAACACGCGTGCTCACATCTGCAATATTCCCAGTTCATTTTGTATGTGTTTGGAAAAGTGGGCTCTGAGATTCGCACCCCTTCCTTCTCCAAGTCTCTCAAACCTCCACTCACTACGGCCACTTTCTGCCACAAAAGCACGGTGCCCTACCACCAGCTGCTCTCAGCCCCGGTGCATTTTCACAGGTTAGGATGGCCTCCGAGATCCCAGGAAACGCCAACTCTTCCTGGTCCTGAACTGAAAGTACTTACATCCATCCCTCTTCTAGCCTTCTCTTTGAAAAGGGTGTTTCATTCATGCCTAAAATACAGGGTTCCCCAAAATTATACACACTTTGAATAATTATTAATTCCAATGGGGTAAATCTTTGAAAAGAAACATACATCGATTGAGATATCAGCTGCTAAACTGTGTATACATTTTTGGGGGGACACCATGTATTATGCCCAGCCTGCCCTCATGGTTCCTAAGCTGCCTGGTGACCAGAATCCCCTGGGAAGGTATTTAACATGGAGCTTTCCAGGCTCTACCTAAAACGAATGTCTCGGTTGGGTTCCCCTGGCCACCTGCAGGCTTTCACAGCAAGCCGAGGTGGTCGTAGAGCAGCCCGCAGTAACCCAGCCCTGGGCCACCTCTGGGGGGGGACCCACCAGTTACAGGAAGCTCAATATGCTGGGCGTCTGAATGTTAATTCAAGAGATATTTCATTTCAGTCATCTATTTCAGGAAGGATAAGAATTTTAGCTGGAGAGCTAGGTGCTTACTAAAAGAGGTAGCTGAACTTGTCACAGAAACATCATGTCTGTGCCAAGGGGCCTCGTCTAAAAATGTGCATCAGCAGAACTTGACCTAACAGAACTCCGCTCCCCAGAGTCTCCTCCAGGAGGCTCCTGGTGCCTCTGTGAAGAACTAGACACTGACCAGCAGTGGTACCCGCATGTCCTGGACCCCTGGCCTGTCCCAGTCTGCCTGCAACAAGAGCTGAGAGGGCCCGCCCTCCACCTCCTTTTCTCTCTTTTTTTAATATAAAGTTTGTTCTGGTGAAAATGATTAACGTTTTAAGCAGGGGGAAGAAAAGCTATCAACTAGGTTAAATTTTAAAAGGAATTTGCTATTTGCTATACAAATATACATTTCAATTTTTACAACACTCACTCCAGTCTGACCTAACTTTTTATAGAAGAACCACAGACCAACATTTCAAGCCTGTGGCCTCACGGGCATTATTACACACAAGCCCTCTGAGAGTTTCTGCAACTGACAAAAAAGTACTGAAGATGAGCTACAGGCTCAGGGGTTCGGATACATTTTCCATGTTCACCACCACCACAGAGACTCCTTTTAAGAAAAAAACTATCTGGGTCGTCCTAGTAGCCAGCCACCTGTCTGCAGTAACGCCGTGGCCGACAGGCACGTCACCTGGCTTTACTATCGCTTTCTTCTCTTCACACTGCTGCCCTCCTCCTTCGGTCTCCTGTCGTCCCAGCCACAGGTCCTCTTGGCGTGAAGGCTCACAGAGCTAAGCATCCCCTGGTCCCCGTCACTGTACGCCCTGGTCTGTCTCTGGCGCCTGTGCTCCCCTCCCTGGCCACAGGTTCTTTTATTTGTGGAGTCAGCGCTGGCAACAGGAGGTTCACATGGCACGTGAGGTCTCTGGTTGCTCCCTGTGGCCGTAGACAGCTCCCCAGTGCTGCCCAGAGCCAGGGGACTCGCAGGGAAGCTGGTCTCTCCCGAGGGAGGGGTTGCTCCAGGAAGCTGGGTGCTCAAGGGCTCTGGGTCCCTTAGGCAGTTCCCTTTGGCTTTAGGGTTCATGCCCATCCTTCTGAACAGTCGTGGGTCCCGAAGCTGGTCTTTAACAGGCGGCTTCTCAGGGTCCTTTGCAGCAACAGTACCAGCAGCTTCCTTACCATCCAAGGGTGTGTGGTACAGAGAAGCAGGAAGCAACGTCCTGACCCGGTCTCTGTCTAGCCTGCTGCTGGGCGAGCCGCCCTGGGGGCTGGAGCCCTCCAGGGCTGCGGAAGAAGGGTGGGTGAGGCTCCGCTGCAGTACAGGCTTGAGCTTCAGGATCTTCATGGCGTCGTGTTTGTAGTTCTTGTCACAGGTCTTGATGATGGCACCACGCCTCTGTGCGTCCTGAATCAGGTGGTTCCAATGCTGATTGTCCTTGAAACCAAGAGGGAAGAAAAGTTACACACCAACAAACACTCGCATGGCTGGGGAGCGGGAGGGCCCCGCTTCGTTTCTGAACAAAGGAAACAGACTTTCATGAACAGATTCTCCAGGACCTGTTACCTATTAGGGTGGGGGGAAAAAAGGTCAGCATACAGCCCGACAGCCTGTCCGAGTCGACCACTGTGAGCAGAACACCCGCCGCTCCCCATGGTGGCGCCTGCTGCACAAGAGCAAGGACAGGGCTGCACCTGAACAGCAGCCTCAGGGAGCTATTTATATATCAACTAATTAAAATCAAAGTGAAAACTTGAGGTGCACTAGCCACGTTTCACAAGCTCGGTGGCCACGTGTGACCAGCGATCAGTGCACTGGACATTGTGGACAGCGCACTCTGTCGTCCCCTCAGGAAGTGCCCTGGCTGCTGATCTGGTCCTGCCTGCCTCTTGCAAGGATGGCAATGGGAGCAGGAAGGCTTGGCTTTAGGAAGCCCTAACTTCTGAGTGCTTGTGACTGTTCTAGAAAAAACACCATAGCTTTCATCAAATTCCCGAAGGCCACCCAAACTGCAAAGGGCTAAAATCATCTTCACCCAAGGCTATGCGTTGCGCCACTTTCTGTCTCTTTTCCAGAGGAGCTGAGGTTAGAAAAGCACATCTAAGGAAAGGAAAGCCCCGGCTGCGCGCCCCTTTCCTCCCTCCCTCTGATCATTCCCTCGGCAGTAAACTGCTCCTGCATGACCTTCAGAACTCAGGCTTGGTAGGAAGAGGGAGCATGAGCACAGACAAAGGCTGAGGGGAGAGGAGGCACTGCTGCCCTGGGCCCGTGAGGCCATCAAGGAGCCCTGGCCGATGTGGCTTACGTGGCTGGAGCGTCATCCCATGCCCCAAATGGTGACGGGTTTGATTGCCAGGTTTTGGGTTCGATCCCCAGTTGAGGAGTATATGGGAGGCAACAAATTGATATTTCTTTCTCACATCTAGCTTTCCTTCTCTCTCTCTCTCTCTCTCTCCTTCTCCCCTTTCCCTTTCCTCTCTCTCTAAAATCAATGGAAACATACCCTCGTGTGAGGATTAAGAAGAAAAAAAAAGGCTTTCGAGGAAACTATAGATTCACAGGAATTTGCAAAAAAAAAAAGGCACAGAGCAGTTCTGTACACCCTTCACAGTTTACACAAATAGTTATGAAAGATAAGTTTTTAAATGTTCAATTTATATATAAATTTGTGTGGCAGAGAAGCAACACAGTGACATTAACAGAAAGATTTCTGATTACAAAAACCTATTCCCCCTCAACTTTAGCCCCAACGAGAATGAACAGAAGGAACTTCAGTTTCAAAAAGCGGAGATAATGCTGAGCTCCCGTCCACTGCACGCACTAAAGAGCAATGCATTCGATTTGTTTTTAAAAGCTTCATTTTAAAATGTCAGCGTTTTATAATACACTAGAAGCAAAGCCTTTAGCAATACTTAAGCTTAGAATAGGAGGTACACAGTTTTAAAAATTCTTTCAAGGGGGTACACAACACAAGGTGAAGACAGAGCGGGTAAGAGTTCAATGAGACTGAGCGCCCTCTGGTGGCACCAACCAAAGAGCGGAAACCTCTCCTCAGCCAGCTGGCGACTGTGAGAGAAACGAGGGAAACCAAAAGCAAGCCCCGCCGCCAGGCCAGCAGCACATTTTAGCTTCAGCTGGCTGTGCTGTCACCAAGTGAAGCCGGACATTTGTTTCCCAAACAACCTGCCTGCAGCCCCCCTGGAGCCGCAGCTGCACCCCGTCCTGCGTCCAGCCCCACACCGCTGCTCTGCTCTCAGGGCCGAGACAGGAGCCGGCGGCTGCACTCGGCGGGTGCTAACACTTCACGTGTATGACTCCCCCATCATCTAACATCCTAGGATGCAGATACGATTTCCTTAAAGGCCACCTTGACAGGACACTGGATGCCTGGGCCTCGGGCTGAGGCTGAGTAGTCTCTGTGTATGACAGCTCCAGGGAGAAGCTGCTGGGGGACACAGAACTCGGGGAAGAGGCTCATTGTCTCATGTCTCCATGGACCCTCGAGACCACTGTCATGTTGGGGAATAAAAGCTAACCTTCAGCCCCTATCAGTAACAATGGGCAAGCTTCCGAGTTCTCTGGCCACCAAGAATGACCTACCATCAGGGTCCGCAGGTGACCAAGGATGAAGAGGCTGTACTTGGCTCGTGTGATGGTGACATTCAACCTCTGCAAACTCGCCAGAAATCTAGGCAAAGAAAAAAAGAGTTACTTCTTTCTACAGAGGGACGTAGTGCACCAGTGTGGGTGAGACACAGGTAGTATTCTAGACAGTTTTCCGTGGGCTCCGGCACGTAAAGGCACAGTGCTTCCTCACTCATCTTCCCAACACAGGGTACCTGGCACAGAAGCAATTCCCCTTAAAAACAGCAAACAAAATACCCAGTGCTTTCCTTCAAAGGGATGCATCTGTCTGTCAATCTCCTATTTTGACTTGAATAAAATATTGGCAATTTTAACAGTGTGATTTCTAAGCCTTCAAGACATCCTAAAAATATGATACTAGATCGATTATTCTTAAATTTAAATTATTTGAGATTACTAAAATACTGTGGAACTAGTGCAGAAACACACAAACCTCAGACAAATGTAACAACAGGTCAGAAAGAGCTCAGAAATAACAGAACTGCTACACAGTAAAGCTGAAATTTCAGGTGAGCTGGAAAAGAATGCGCTGTTTACAAAGTGGTCCTGAGATAACTGGCCTCCATTTGTACATGCAGACTATTTCCAGGCAGGGGCAGAGAGAACTTGAGTTACTATTTTAAGAACAATTAAACATACTTACAATCTGTAAATTTCATCTGCTACTCATGGGAAGAAAAAAATCTCAGACCCTGAGGCTCAGGGGAGTTTTTTGTCACCCACTACAGTGCCCAGAGCATCTCTGGTAAGTAAACTGACCATAGTTAAGATTAACTCGGCCAAAGCAGAAAACACAGAGAGATGAGAAAAAGCCACAGACGACACATCCCGTGGGAGACCAGCAGGCCCCTGCAAAACACACTTGATCCAATGACTTATTTCACTCTTATTAAATGACAGAACAGATTCACGCCGTGTCATGGGTTAATATAAAAGCTCTCAGGAGAAGCAGACCCAACAGTGGATCAATTTCACAACTTAAAACCTCAATGATGACAGTTACTTACCCGATTGAGCCTTGCATGGCGTTTGCTCTGACACATGTGACAATTATACAGTCTTTCTGACGACCCTGAAATGCATCCACAGTATCCACTTCTGCTGGCCTGTTTACAAAAGAGAAGTGTTTACTGGAAAAGGTAAGATAACTATTAAACATACATATTCATAAAGTAGTCTTTCTCAGAAACCTTTTTCATGGTATCTGTACTTATGGAAATATAATTCACATAACATAAACTCCCCATTGTAAAGTACACCTTTTAGTGGTTTTTAAGTACATTTGCTATGTTGTGCAGGCATCACTAATTTCACAGCATTTCCATCACCCAAAAGAGAAACCCTGTCACAATTTTCCCTCCCCCACAGCCCCTGGTCACCAGGAATCTACTTCCTATTGCTAGAAACTCTTCCGCACTGGACATTTCATGTCAGTGGAATCAGAGCTCGTGGCCCTTGAGCCTAGCTTCTCTCGCTCAGTGTTTTCAAGGCTCATCTACGTTGTAGCACGGGCCAGTGCTTCCTTTCATGACTGTAGATTTGATTGTACACATGGCTCAAAATGTATTTACCCATTTACAAAACTGGGTCCTGAGTTCTTTGTTGGAAAGTACTTGATTATTAACTCCATCGCTTTACTTTTTAGAGGTCTGTTCACATTTTCTATTTTTTCTAGAGTCAATTTTGGTAGTTTGTGTGTTTCTAGGTTAAGACACTTTTGAGTCAATGGATTTCCAATATTTAATCTTTAATTTTACTGTTGAGGTAAAAAGGAGACAAAAACATGATCCTCTCCCTATACATAAAGACACTAAAAGGGGTAAACCATTTATTCTAAGTGACAATGTGACTCCCTGCATCTCCTCAGAATCAGAATTCAGACCAACAGTCATGGACCTAAAGGGAAAGGTCTGGGGAGCTGCTCAGTGAGTTTCACTGTCAGGTCTCCTGTGATCAGCACCCAAGGCAGGAGGCTCTGTCCACAGGGCTGCAAGCGTGCCCACCCCGACCCCGACTCCTGACCACCCTGGTATAAAATCACTCCCCACAATGTTTCCTTTCCTCCTTCCCTTCTAGTCCCTCTTTCTTCTCTTTAATTCAACAGAGAAACTGGAAATATCTGTAAAGACACATTTGCCTCACCCTTTTCCTTCAAATTCTTTGTCCAGCTCCTTCTGAATCATCATCTTCTGAGCCTTGTAATGGGTTATTATGCCAATGTTTCGGAAAGTGATGTCCCTTCTTTTGTCTTTAAGAAGTTTAATCAATTCTATGACCACTTTTATTTCTTGAACATTTACATATGAGCTAAAAAAGATGGAAAAAGACACATGCTTGGCATGGATTCACTAAAGTGCCAACCACATATTAGGTAATATGATCCTCGTTACACACTTAAGGATTAAAAGGCTGAAATGTAGAGAGAAAGATGCTAGCAATTTATTTTAGCACCCTGCTAGATAACAGCGACCAGGCTCTGACATTAGACAGAGATGTGTATGGACAGCGTTTTGAACACGAATACGGACCAAGCCCTCTGAGGCTCTGGGGCCTCCCTGGGAGTGGGGGGGGGTGCGTACTCATTCTCCCGCCGCTCGGAGCCGTCCCCGACATCAAACACGAGGTAGGGCTGAAATGGCCAGTCTGAGGAGCACCGCGTGGTCTCAGTCCCCCTACAAGAAAGCAGCCACCACTCAGGACACAAGACAAGTCATATAGACAATTCTTAAATTAGTATCACCATTGTCCTTGTAAGGAGGAAGCTGGGGCAAATGAGGGCACAAGAAGGACCTTTTACTGAAACATGCCTTAGTGGAAGGTAGAAATCCAACTTTATTTCTACTCTGGTGCTAAGAGAATGAGCTCTGTAATTAGAGCATAACAATTATAACTGGAAAGCTACTCATAATACAGGAAGTAAAAGCAAGCCATTTACTACTATGTAGAGCATGGTATGATTTTTTTGAGTTAAAAAAAATTAAAAAGGTATACATAGTAAAAGGACTAGAAAATGATACACCAAAATGTCACTAGTAATTACTTCTGGGCAGTACAAATATGGGTGTTTTCCCCCTTCTTTTTTCTTATCAACATTTGCTGCATTCAACATGACTTTTATAATTAGAGAAAATTATGAAACCTTTGACTTATGCTTTTATGACAAGATTTAAGAACAGAGTAAACTCGCTCTGCTTCCTAAGCAGCTAACCCTACAAACAAAATCAGCCACCAAGTGATAAGCGAAGCCCACCTGTTGGTCTTCAGGCTCCTGTTGTAAATGTAATTGGAGGGGAAGAGACAGATGTCCGGGTGCATCCTGTACTGGACAGTCAGCTGCAGGACAGGCAGCCTGCCGCTCAGGTTGTGCTCCACGCTTTCCTCCAGCAGCCTGCAGAAGCGGGCCATCATCGACTGCTCGTAGCCATACTCCTGTGCCTTCTGGAAGGGGGAAGAAAGCAGTCATCTTGGAGAAGCTGCCTGTACCTGTCCCATTGTTATAAAAACAATTACTGTGCTCTAGTATGTGCACAGCAAGGTTTGGGCCCATTACCAACCACCAGAGTCAGAGAAAGATGTTTCTGAACTTGGCCCTTGAAAAGCCATGGAGTTTGGTGATCTTGTAAATGACCACACTGAAGCTATTCTGATGCTAACAGAAGTCACCTGACTCCATTACGAAAGCAAAAAAAATGTAACACAGATTTTAACAATTATTTCTGGATTATGCTCTCAAACAGAAACAATCAATGTTATTGTAAATAAGCCCTCTTAAAGACTACTTGCTGCACAATGCCTGTCCCAAAAGGAAAAGCCCAAAGCACATGGAGCAGGGTCTTCCTAGTCTCTGGTCTCTGACATGGCTCCTGTCACATACACAAGCACAATTACCAACAAAGGGGCATTTTCAAAGACTTTGACTATTAAGACTCAAATAGTGGATCTTTTTTCCCAGACTTTCCAACACTTTTCCCTGCAAATAAAAAACGATGATCCAACAAAGACTGCCCCCCAAACAATTCCAAAAAAGCCTCTTCCACTTTAAATCGATCAGAATGCGAGGGACTCACCAAGGAGATGACTGTGGGGGGGAGCTGCTTCGGGTCCCCTACAAGGATGAGCTTGTTGCAGCGGTGGATGAGGGGGGTGAGGGTCTCAACTTCACAAGCCTGCCCAGCCTGAATGACAAAGTACAGAATGGAGAAATCAGCTTAATTATCTTTTTGTTTACCCATGTGCCGTTTACCTAACGCACAAAAGCTCTAAACCTAACCATTCAGAAAAGAGAACACTTTCTCCTTCTGCACCAAATATCAAAAGCAAAAACTTTCTTTAGAGAAACAAACAAAACAAAACAAAAACACTCAAAAGAAATATCACACATGTATTTTGAAGTCAGTCACCACTCAGGTGCCACTGACACTTGGGAGCCAGCCACAAGCTGGAAGGTCTGCTGGAGCTGCTGGCTGTGCCCCGCCCCGCCCCGTCCCGCTGTCTTCCTTGTTCCTCAGCGGCTCTCTGCTGCAAGACCCGGCTGGCTGGCACTGGCCGCCGCTTCACCACGGCCCCCTCTGCCCGCTCTCACTGGCAACTACGGACCTTGGACCTCCTGGACCAATTCTCTATCTCATTTCCATCCCTGTTGTCTTCTGGCTCTACGTCTGGCAAACAGTAGGTACCTAAAAACTGTCTGCTCAATAAACATACTGGGAAAATAGTGTGGCCCAGGGCTGTCCAAAGTTATGTTAAAAATGCAGCAAAAGGTAAACTGAGCGATTCCGAGCAGCTCAGGCAGTCCTTGGAGGGGCTCTGGGAGGAACAATCTAGCACCCTCGAGGGAGAATCCGCCCTGCAAGAGCGGTTTGGGCGTGAGGAGTCCCCGGCAGCACATTCAACACGAATGCACACGCGCAATGGCGGGGAAAGTCAGGCGCGAAGACCACCGTGTTGACACCTCAGCACCCCCGGCCCCCCGTTCACAGAAGACTCCGCACAGCACTAGTCAAAGGCGAATGGCCGACTGCTCACTGACCTCGTCGACGATGACACAACTGAAGGGGACACCTCCTTGGCCCCGGAAAGCAGACTCGAGCAGCAAACCGCCACTTGTGCTCAGGGTGCAACAGATGACGTGCGACTCCAGGATGATGATGCTCTGGGTCTTCTGGGGGCGGCCTTGGACCTGCGACAAGCAGAGGCTCGCTACCATTCAGCTGTATGTAAATCTTAGCCCACGGGAGCCTATTTTACTATAAAACACCCACCTTTATTATGTGAGAATAAAATTTAGTAAACATAAAGGGAGAACCTCAATCTGGAAAAACAGCAGAAACATCCATGATGATCGGAAACCATGGGAAAGAATACTATTTGCAGTACAGTCTAAGCTTAGAACAGCTTCAGGCACAGAGAAAAGCTCATCCAGGGTTTGATTTGGCCAGATGTACCGTGGGCGGGTCAGACTATGCAGGGAGTGAACCACCCTCCCAATTCGGGAAGCAATTGTCTGAGCAAAGCCGGGTCAGAACTGGGCTGGAACATGTGTTTTTCTGTTTGTTTTTAAGTTCATAAAGCTATTCTTCCTTTTATAAAGGCTACTACCAACAAAAAAACCTGCAAAATTGATGAGCATTCTACTTCCAGTTAGAACACAACCCTGGTCTCCCTCTATAAGGCAACATACAGCTCACCCAGGAACAACGCGGGCGCTCAGGGCACCAACCACCTGCACAATTGAAAATCCTAGTGTGACTTAAGTCTGCCCTCCACATACGTGAATTCACCACCTCAGACCAAAGATACAACTGTACTGTGGTGGAACCAGGCACAGTGAATGACACCTCACTGCACACCATGCAGGGTTCAGTCGCAAACTAGTATCTCAGCAGAGTTAGCCTGGTCCCACTCCCGAAAAGCAGCAGTGACTCAGCCCTGTGCAGGACAGACAGTCAGCATGGACTACGAGGCTCTCGTGTGAGCTCGGGCAGAGGGTGGCGATGGTGGCCCAGCAAAGTATACGTGCCGAAGCACTATCGCCCATCTCTTCTCAGCCAAGTGAGGAAACAGTCAACTGCAACAGCTACAGAGCAACATGACCAGTAGCGGAAGCCACGCTGCCTGCAAACACGGACTTCCTCCCTCAATTCCGGAAGACTGAGTTTGGCTCAGTTTAAAATTGAAAAGTTTCCACCTAATTTTTAATTGAAATAAACAAATTGCTAATGCAAATACACATTAAACGCAATTGTATTTATAAAGCCACACAGGGAAGGCTAACAAGGAGATTCAAAAGAAAAATCTCAAAAATACTGAGAACATCCTTGACCCCAATGGAAACGCTGTGTTGTTTGAGGAAATGCATAGGGAACTGCCACTGTCACTGCTTGAATCCAGATGCATGTTATTTCTTCCTTTTAATAGCGAAACACCCACGAACTTATTTTATTAACAATTCATCTGGCTACAGATATCCCAGTTGATCGCGCAGTTCGGGGAGGTGGAGTAGAGCATCTGACAAGAGGCTTTTGATACTTACCCAGACCTAGCATAGGAAAGCTATTCTATAATCACTTCTTCCTTAGAAATCTCAGGTGGTGATAAGAACTCATTATTAGGCTACAGAAACAAATGTAAATATACATGTAATTACACCATTTCCACTTCTGTATTTGTTCGAAATTTCTCATAATAAAAACATTTTTAAACGCAATTGATAAAAGCCCAGAGATTGTCTAAACTATCATAATTAAAAAAAGAAAAAGAGGACATATCAAGATGGCAGCACAGGTAACAGCTGCAGCCGCCGCCTCCCGCAACCACATCAAAATTACAGCTAAAATAAAGAGCTGCCCTCACGCAGAGCCTCCTGAAATCCAGCTGAACAGAAGCCCCACAACCAGGGAACTGAAGGAGCATCAAGAGCGGTAGGAGGGGCGGAAATGCAGGCAGATCAGGACTGGATCATGGTGGGCCCACAACCGGTGCCGCGGGTTAAACCCAGGAGGGAATCTTGGTGGCAGAGGTTTCCCGGAGGAGGGAGGGGTCCCAGGCCCACAACAGCCCCCAGCCCAGAGCTCCAGGGCTGGGAAGAGACGTCCCCACAACTCCAGGCTGTGAAAACCAGCGGGGACTGTCGCTAAGGGTCTCGGAGGCTGCGGGAGCCCCAGCAGCTCCTCGTAAAGGGCCCGCGCGCCGACTCACTCGGACGCACTCCCTCTGAGCCCAGCGCTGGGCAGCAGCTTGAAAGGACCTGGGACACTCGGGGAAGAACTAACCTGCCTGGAATCCGGGCGAGAGGTGGAGGGGTGGCTTCCTCCCAGGCAGAAGGGCTGGCAGAGGCCATTGCTCCTGTGGACAGCCCTCCCCGCACACAGCCAGCAGGCAGGCACCATATCTGAATCTCCAGCACCTGACTCACACCTTTGGCCCCTCCCCTTCCCACCTGCAAGCTCATCCAGGCAATTTTCAGGGGCTTTTCTGTGCAACTGGCCTCTAAAACTTCGTGCTTAGGATGCAGCAGCGGGCCCCATATGGCTTGATAAGTGGCCCAGGCCTGGCACTGGCGACAGCCTGCATTGGCTCATAGCTTGGCCTCTCCTGGACACCTCTAAGCCCAGCGCAAGTAGCAGCCAACTACGGTTTGCTATGTAGCTCATGCTGGGNGTTTGCTGTGTAGCTCATGCTGGGTGGCCCTGGGCAAGGCACAGGCAGAGGCTGACTTAGCACCTCCAGGGAGGCCCCAGAGACAGTGCACCTCAGAGACTCCACCATGCTGGATTACAACCCTACCACATCCACGAGTGACACTCAAGGGGCGCACTTGGTGAACACTGAAGCCCCACTGAAGTAAATCCTGCTCCATAGGGGTGTCTCCAGCACAGCAGCTCCTTGGCTGTAGCTGCAGCTGGTCCTCACAGCTGATTGGCTTGGGGGTCAGTTCCTCCCAGTGACGCCAACAGCAACCAAGGCTCAACTACAACACAGTGCACACAGCCCACACAGGGGAGCACCCAGAAAGCCCAGCTCAGGTGACTGGGGAGGCTGAGCCACTGGACCCTACAGGACACCTACTACACAAAGCCACTCTACAAATTCCAGGAGACATAGCAGCTCTACCTAATACATAGAAACAAAACACCTGGAAGCAGCCAAAATGTGGAGGCCAAGAAACATGTCACAAAGGAAAGAACAGAAGAAACCTCCAGAAGAGGAACTAAATGAAATAGATCCAAGCAAGCTAAGAGATACAGAGTTCAGAATTTTGTTTATAAGGATGTTTAAGCATACTATTAGGGAAACAACTGAGAAAATCGATAATATAATCAAGTATCAATTTGAAATGAAGGCTACATGAACTGAAAGGAAGAATAATTTACAGGGAATCAACAGTAGAGTAGAGGACGCTGAGAATCAAATCAGCAATTTGGAACATGAAGAAACAAAAAACACTCAACTAGAACAGCAAGAAGGAAAAAGAATCCAGAAATATGAAGATAGTATAAGGAGTCTCTGGGACAACTTCAAGAGGCCCACCATTCGTATTACTGCGGTGCCAGAAGGGGAAGANAATTCCTCCCAGTGACACCAACAGCAACGAAGGCTCAACTACAACAAGACAGTGCACACAGCCTGCACAGGGGAGCACCTAGAAGGCCCAGCTCAGGTGACTGGGGAGGCTGAGCCACTGGGCCCTACAGGACACCTACTACACAAAGCCACTCTACAAATCTCAGGAGACATAGCAGCTCTACCTAATACATAGAAATAAACACCTGGAAACAACCAAAATGTGGAGGCAAAGAAACATCACAATGGAAAGAACAGAAGAAATCTCCAGGAGAGGAACTAAATGAAATAGAACCAAGCAAGCTAACAGATACAGAGTTCAGAATTACGGTTATAAGGATGCTCAAGGATATTAGTAAGACGACTACAAAAACAAGTGAGACCATTGATGACTTAATAAAGGACGCACAGAGGATCCCAAACAACAGGAACCCAAAGAGGCCCACAGGAAGACACATCATAAATAAAATGCCAAAGGTTAAAGACAAAGAGAGAATCTTAAAAGCAGCAAGAGAAAAGCAGGTAGTTACCTACAAGGAAGCACCCATACGACTGTCAGCTGATTTCTCAACAGAAACCTTGCAGGCCAGAAGAGAGTGGCAAGAAATATTCAAAGTGATGAAAAACAAGGAACTACAACCAAGATTGCTCTACCCAGCAAAGCTATCATTTAGAATTGAAGGTCAGATAAAGAGCTTCTCAGATAAGAAAAAACTAAAGGAGTTTATCACCATCAGACCAGCACTACAGGAAAAGTTGAAGGGTCTTCTTTAAGAAGAAGCTAATGAACAGAAGACTCTAATGAACTAAATAAATCCAGAGACATTGACGCATGTAACAGACGATCATATTTCAGAGGAAAGAGAGAAGGGGGGTGGAGGGTGGGAAGATATTCACCAAAGAAGTTATATGCATATATGCATAACCCATGGACACAGTCAATAACGGGGTGAAAGCCTGGGGAGGGGGTGGGAGCGAAGTGGAGGGGGTCAATGGGGGGAAAAAATGGGACACCTGTAATACTCTCAACAATAAAGATTAAAAAAACAAAAAAAGCAAATTCAAAAAAAAAAAGAAAAAAAAAACAACAGGAAAATGTTGTAAGTAAACGACTTACCTCTTTGATTTTAGAAGCAAGTTCCTGCCTTTCTTTTGATACCCGGGCAATTTTTTCATCTAATTCTTGCCTCTGGAAAAAATTAGAATGTCATCATGAAAATTACGTAAGCATTTAAAATGCTTTCCAATGGCTGCTTCACTTCAAAAAGGAGAGCCTGCACTTTATGAGGACACTCACACAGTTTGTTTTCTCTTTGCCAGTGAAGTCCTGACACTCTGAGTCACTAGGTGTCTGGAGTTTGGCTCAGCTACTCCACAGTATTGCTGCCTCCACCTCTATTCTGTTTGGCCAAGCAGCCTGCACACCTTAAACTGACACCAGCCCCTTCACACAAGCGCATGCCCCAGGCAGCAGCCCAGTCATAGCAAATGTAAGCTCCTGATACGACTTCTCCAGCAGCCCTTGGGACCAAGTCTCCCCTGCCCCCAACACATTCCCCTTAAGCACTTCTTAGATAAGGTCTTTTGGTTTGAACTGACCAACCCAGCCTTAGCCCAGGAACCCTAAAGCACTCCAACCACAGGCCCTAATAAAGGAATGTGGCCCTCTGGCGTGGCTCAGTGGCTGTCAACCTATGAACCAGGCGATCATGGTTCCTTTCCTGGTCAGGGCACATGCCTGGGTTGAGGGCTTGATCCCCAGTAGAGGGCGAGCAGGAGGCAGCCAATCAATGACTCTCATCATTGATGTTTCTATCTCTCTCTCTTCCTTCCTCTCTCTGAAATCAATAAAAACATATTTTTAAAAAATTAAAAAATATGCCCGGCTGGGCATGGCTCAGTGGTTGAGCATCAACCTAGGATCCAGGAGATCGAGGTTCGATTCCCAGTCAGGGCACATGCCCAGGTTGCAGGCTCGATCCCCAGTGTGGGGTGTGCAGAAGGCAGCCGATCAATGACTCTCTCATCATTGATATTTCTCTCTCTCCCTTTCTCTGAAGTCAATAAAGATATACTTAAAATAAATAAATAAATAAAGGCATGTGCCCCAGGCCCTGCCTGTCTGCACTCTGCCTTGACCTCTGTGTGGCCTCTCGGGGCATGCTGTGTGCTTCCTCCAGGACCTGTGAGTAATAAATTTCTCTATTTCAATTTCTCTCATCGTCTGCTGTTGAGCAGTGCTCACCACTCAGCATCCTGCACTCCACTTAGCAGCAACTGTTAATCTGATAAATTCTTCACACTACATGAGATTCCACTGGGCCCGGTACAGGACATGTGTGCTACTTCTGAGTATCCCAACCCTTGGGTCATCATTCCTTCACTTGTTTCCAAATGGTTCAAATGTGGCAATCAGTCACACTTCCATCACCTGTGGCCACAGGTTTGGTTAACCATGGCAGCCATTGCCTTAACCACAGGGACTAGACCTGTCTGTACTCCCAGGGCCTAATCCGAGTTCCTCCTTGGAACTGATGCACGGATAACGGTAGGGAGGACTTCTGTGCCTGTGGGTTTTCTGAGCTGGGGTGGCTTACCACTTTTGTATACATTTTCGTCAACAAATTATGCTATTCCACAGTGAAAAACGGCATTGAATACTCATCATTTGGTCTGTGTGTCTGTGAGTTATTAAAAACCATTAGTGAAGAAATGCTCAGATACCTGTATTTCCCGCCCACCACGGCATAAAGCACGCTGGCGGGAAAGTTCATCTAGCTGATGGTCTAGATATTCCTTTCTTCTATGCATCTCCTGAACATAAGAAGGTAAGTCTTTTTCTAAAAAAGAAAAAAAGAAAAAGACAAAGAATTATATGCCACTTCTGACACACACACATCCGCATAACAATAAGAAACAAACAAGTTCTCAAAGCCAGACCATCTCTAGGGTCTACCTGTGGCCTTAAATACCCAAACCACTGTCTGCTGTCCAAAAGGAACCAGCTAACGTTAGCATGGGCCGTGTCCAGTACTTACTCATTCTGTGGTTAACTTGGCTGTCCAAACTGAATTTTAGGACCTCATTATTAATAGACTTTTCTGGACCCAGTCGTACTAAATTGATATCTCCACAGTTTCCTGTTGATAAAAATCACACTTAAGAGACTGATGAGGACACTGCCAACCTCTGTCCATTATAATATGTATTTTTAAGCAAATATATTAACAATCAGAGAAGGGAGCTAACGTGAACTATCAATTTAGATACCTGGAACTCCACTAGAGCTTCATACATGTTATTCCAGAGATTCTCTGTAACAACCCTATACAGTAGGAACTTAACCATTTCTACCCAATAAAAGCTAGCAAGGTCGTACATAAACACTACACTGCAGAGCTGAGAACCCATTATACTGTTTCTCAAATTATGTTTTTAAAAACATTCCATGGTAAAATATATTTGGAAATGGTGAATTAAAACATGTATCTAAACCACAGGATGTTTCAAAAGGACTTTTCTACATTACTACACATGTGAACTTCTAAACAGAATCTTATTTGACCGTCAACCCCTTTCTGCAGAATCCTCAGAATAAAGCTTTGAAACTGCTCCACCTCGCATGCCACTCCACCAGAAACACCGAGAGGTGCCCCACAGATTATGACAGACATCCTTTAAACTGTAGGTGCGTTCGTAAGAAGGTTGGACAAGCCCTAGGGCCAAAAACAAAGAGAAAGCTGAAAAGCAGAGTTGAAAGCCCTGAGTTCCTATGGGTCACAGAGGGTGAAGGGTGAGGGCTGCTCAATGCCTCAGTGCTTAGGTGTTTTTTTAATTTACATTCAATAAAATGCAGAGATTAAAAACCTTTAGTTCTACAGAGTCTGACAAACATCTACAATGGCAAAACTCCCATTCTAATCAAGACACAGAAGTCTTGCAATGCGGCTTGGAGTTACAGCCCCATAGAAAGCCAATGGGCCTGACAGACGTGGCAGGATAAAGGAGTGAACGCACCCTGTCCTGGCTCGGCTGGCAAAATTCTCTTTTGGGACTTGCCAGTAAGGCCCGTGCCACATGTGAATTTAGAGGCTCAATACACAGCACAGGGAATAACAAAGGTGACCCTCAGAAATACGGCTGAGACTTAAAAAATGAGAACACAAGGAACGACTTTATACCAATATATTTGAAAACCTAAGACGAAGTCAAATTTTTCTTAAAAATGTGAATTAGCAAAACCCAAATCTAGAGGATCTGAATAGATCTGTAACAATTAAAGACATTTAGACAGTAGCTAAAAACAAAAACCACTAAAAACACATTAGCCTGCAAGGACGAGATGGTCTTCTGGAAAACACTTCAAAGAATAACAGAACCTCCCAGTTCCCTTTTTAAAGTCTGTGTAACATCAATTCCAAAACCAGAAAAACACGACAAAGAAGAATTAGAGGCTGGCCTCATTTATGGATAACTTCTTAAATCCTAAATAAAGCATTAGCAATCCAGGTATGTGTTAAAAATAGTAATACGTGGCCAAGTTGGCATTATTCCAGGAATCAGAGCTATTTTATCATTAGAGAGACATTGTAATTTTCCACATTAACAGACTAAGGAAGAAAAACTTCACTGACATTTCAGCAAATGCAAAAAAAACAAAAACAAAAATGCGTGCAGTCAAACTCAACACCCACTCATGATAAAAACGCTGCTGAGAAGGGAACTTCTTTACTCTGATAAAGGGTACACAAACTGAAACCCAGCAACAAACTCATACTTAATGGCAAGGTGTCATTTCCTTAAAGGACACCCAGGGCCATAGGAAGCAGTGAAAAGAAGTGAGAATGAAATAGCGAGAGAGGAGAAAAAGGCTCTCCTTACTGAAGGAGCTACTTTCTCTCTAAGAAAAAAAATGAAAAAGCCACCCTCACTGCCTGGCCCCCCGGCTGCTGCCCAGCCCTGCTGCTGGCCAGCGCACATTGGGGCGCTGCTCACCCACCCGGCAGGGAAGGTCAGTTAGCACTGAGCCCTGCGCACGGCCAGGTACAGCTGCTGGATTTGACTGTCGGAGTTGGAGCAGCCAGATACACTGACACAATCACTTTCAAGAAGAACTTGGCCCTGTCTAGAAAACTGAAGACGCACAAATCCTTAGACTCAAGATTTCCACTTCTAGGTACACATGCAGCGCACCAGTGACCTTGTCCTCTCGTATGAAGTATTCCGCACCCGTCAGCGATGAAAGACGTTTTACAAGACAACTCACCCCGCTGCCTGTCCTCTGATGTTTTCTGCTCTGTTTTACCTGGGTACCTGGGTTAAGAACGCTGGTTCTGGTCTCCCTAAATTGATTCCACAACCCCTAGAAAGCTGCGTGGAAGCACGGGGGGTGAAAGTAAGGCCCCAGAGCCGCGTTACTTCAGCGCGCTCCCCCTAGCGGCGCCCGTGTGACAGCACAGCCCCACCCACTGGCTACAGTAAACATTCCTATGCCTGCGCTGCAGAAAAACACGTGCTTACAGGAATGTTCACTGCAATAAAGTTTGAAATAAAAAAAATGGAAGATAACCTGAATGTCTATCAACAGGTAATGAGTGCACTGTGCACCTTACAATGAAATACCCCTCAGCAGTTGATATGAACGACTGTGTGGACAGACAGCGATATAATATAAAATCATAAACCGCACAAACATATGATAGCTGGGAAAGTGGCAGACTTAATGTATTGTAAGTTTACAAGCCAATGAATTCTATTTGTAGGTAACACATATGTGATAAAAAGCAAAACTTGTGTGTGATCCTCTAGAATAAAAGTGGCGTGTCCCAGCTTCTCTCATAGTTGGGTACAGCCATGTATGTGAGTAGGTTCTGGCCCAAAGGAAGTGAGCAGAGGTGCTCCTGGCAGTGTCTAGGAACTTTCCTGAAAACAAGGCTAGGATGTTCCTTGTGTCCCTCCTTCATCTTTACCCCAGACACTTGCTGCTGGATGTGACTGCTAGAGTTGGAGCAGCCATCTATCACCATGAGGCACACTAAGGAAGGAGGCCACACACAGCAGAGCAGCAGGACAGAGAGCGCCCAGGTCTCTGAGACACCAGTGCGAGTCCTGAGCTGCCAATCTCTGGCCTTCTGAGTAAGAAAGAAACTTCTATCATACTTAAGCCACGGTATTTGGAGTCACTCTTATTTGCAGCCACATCTAATCCTAACTGATAAAAGGTACTGTCAGGTAACCTCAAGAAAAACAAAACTTGGTCAGGAAAGACAAGACTATGAGCTTGAGAAAACAGTCGAACTGTAACCCTACCACTCAAGGCGTGTGCTGTCAGAATGAGGGTCATGCAGACAGGAGTTACCTGACATCTGCACTCAGCGTCCCCCAACTACGTGTGCTGAGCTCTTCGCCAACGTAGACTGTGCTGAAGAGTTACCCTGGCACACTCCACAACCTGCTCTTCAGCTTCCCCCCCAGCATGGAGACAGAGGGTTTCAATACTTGCTCACTGGAGCGCTCTGAGAATTTTTGCCACAGTGAGCACTGCTCTAGCTTTCCAGTCTGCACCAGGCCCTGGGAAGCCACAGGGAAGGAATCACCCTCACCTTCGGGGAGCATACTCCGTTCCAGGCGTCCTGAATGAGCTGGGTTCTCCAGCCTCTGGCATCCCCTCCCCTCACACACACCTCCCTGGCTAACTCCTGTGCTCCTCAGGTTTTACCTTAGACACCACCTCTTCTAGCAGCCCTCCCCAGCCCTCACATGACTGAGTCAGGGCCACTGGAAGGAAGGTGCCCAAAGCAGCCGCATTTCTCTCCTACTAGAGAGCTCACAGCTTGTCCTCTCTCTACTCACACCTCCACCCACTTCCTCCTGAGACTGTCTTCTGGGGGTTTCACAGCTGAAATCTCAGCACTCAGCACAGGGCCTGGCACAGAGAAAACGCCAGTAAATATTTGCTGACAGAATCACGAAGGACACAGGGCCCACAGCCCACGACAAGTCATCACAAGAGTTGGCCTGCTCCTGTCATTCAGAGCTGCCCCCACTGAACCCAAAACAAATGAACAGCCACAAGTAGCATACCCAAAGGGTTCTTTTTGTCTTTACACCTCTCTTTGAATTCGAGGATGATTTTTTTCATCAACTCATCCACAGCCGCGTTGGAAGGTGCACACACAAGCACGCGGTTCTGCTTGATCTTGGCGTTGGAGTTTTCATCGAAGTGTCCCCTCCTCTGGGTCTACAATTCAACACATGCACCAGACAGACAAAAAATACCAATGAGCTCTATTAAGTTGTTTTATCCTGCTCTCTACTTCCAGGCAAGTCTGAAAGTTCCCTTGTAGGAGGGAACTTTACTGTATAAAAGCGCCTGCATCTTACACTGACAGTGAAAGTACTCAGTCACAGAATCTTATCCCAGCCGCTTTCACTCAGTACTCACTCCAACCCAAAGGCAGCCCAGGAAGAAATGAAAGACGGTGCCCTGGCCGATGTGACTTATAATAAAGCCAGAAGACTACCCCCTGGCCCTTAGGATTAGTTTCACCCAAGACAGCATTTTCTGCCCTTTTTACTTCTTAGAACCTTCTCTCCCTCTGTTCCCCCATTTCTGACAAAGTTCCACACAGTATCGACAGAGAAGACAGCGCACGCTGGTTAATTCAAGGTCAGTGGCACCGTGTCCTCAGCCCCAGCACTGACCCCACCATCTCTACCTCAGTCAGCAGGCGGTACAGGAGGCCAACGATGGTTTTTGATTTCCCAGTTCCAGGTGGCCCATGAATCAGACAGATCTTGGCAACTGCTGGGGAGTGTTTCACCATGGCGTATGCAGTTTCTATGGCCTTCTTCTGGTCGTCGTTGAAATCTTTTAAGTAGGCAGTCTACACAAAAAGACGGGAGTGAGAACGGCAGCGGTGGCAGCGCAAGACCCCAAGGGGACCCACCCTTCACCTGAAACCGCTTCACTACAGGAAAGAGATACTTAGTGTCTGCAGGCTTCACCCACTGACAAATACAAGTATGCTTTTTTTATTTGGGATTTTTATAAAGATGGTGACAATAAGCTGTTCTGTCCTTCTCTGCTCTTTCTTCTTTGGTTCTTCCCACTCTAGTCAGTTCTCTCCTCAGACAATAAAAACAGTGACACAGTGGAAAGAGCAGGATCTAGGGGTGGATCTGAGTCTAAACCTCAGGTTCACTCACCAGCCAGGTCTCAAACTCCTAACCTCTCTTAGCCCCAGCCTCTGTCATCCATTAAGTCTGGGATTCCTTGAAGGTGAGAACTGACTGAGATGACACACAAGAAAGCCCCAGCACACAGCAGGGGCTCAAAAATATTCCTTTCCTTTTGCTTTTCTCTGTGTTAATTTCCAGCAATTTATATGAAGCTCTTCTGGTGATATCTGTGTTCACCCAAAACGGCAGCTTCATCCTCATACTTGTAATGATACCAACCAACTCCCCTGCGCCTGAACCTCATCACCTGAGAGATATTAGGTGGGGTGCTCCCCCAGCCCGTCAATGCTGCTCCTCCAGCTCACTCCCCAATCTTTCCAGCACCACACCCTTCTCCCGAGGCCAGCGAACCACCCTCATACTCTGCAGCATTCAAGACAACTACGCCCCAAACAGCACCCCCGTGCACGGTGCGCAGCCTGCTGTCGACGCGGGAATGTGCAGCAGATACGCGTAACACATTCTCTCACATCCCGACATGAAACTTCCTGACCTTCCCTGTTACCATATGATCATCACTCACAATTCTCTCAGACGTTGTAGTTAGCAGATCTTTTGTACAGAAGTCCATGGGGTTTGGGTTCAGAATCGCTCTGGCCAGTTGGTTTCGACTACTCAACAGAGACATGGCTTTCAGCTTCCTTTGTGTAGTTACCAGGGAACTGATCACAGAACATTTCACCACGTCATTTAAGTTGACTGGCAAGTTATCTTGAGTCTGGATGGAGAGGGAACACTCATACTTCCCATTCCGCACTAGTGTCAAGACAGAGAAACAGCAACTTCAGCGACCAGTGAAGAGCAATGTCCAGTTAGGAGGTTATTCAGAATTGGATATTTTATAATGTGTGTTCTTGTAGGACACATTACAGGAACAATTCACTGAATAACACTTCTTGACTGCGTCCTGAGAACAAGGCAATGTTCCTATCCTCAAGAGGCTTCTTTTTTGCAGAGAGAGACAAACAACCCAATAAACAGGTGGTGACAGCAAGTGCTCTAAAGAAGGGAGACAGGGAATGAGGAAGTGCCAAGGGGTGTGAGGCAGGGGTCACTGTAGATAAGAGTTGGGGCAGCTTTCAGCTACCTTTGTGTAGTGACCAGGGAACTGATCGCAGCATATTCCACCATGATCTTCCTGATCAGGCGGTATCAAAAAGGCCACTCAGGAGGCTACTGCAGTCATGCACGTAAAAGTAATGGCAGGATGGCCCAGGACGGAGTGGCAGAGGTGGGGCGAGTGGAAATGACTTGCTGATGGGCTAGATGTGGGTGGAAAAGGAAGAGGGAGACCAAGGATGACTGCCCCGCTCACTGAGATGGGATGAACCAAAGGAAGAGCAGGCGGCAGGCGGACAATCAAGCATTTCTCTTTGGACGAGGTTTGAAATGTGGAGATGTCTGACGGTTGGATACATGAATTAAGGGAGGAAACTACCTTAGAAATATAAATTTGGCAAATGTAATCATTTGTAAGAGTCAAAAGCACGTATATACCTGCTTCTGCTCTTCTCTGTGCATTTACACAAAGACCTGAGCTCTGGTCGCACTGACAGTAAGCACGACACACCAGTCATAGTGCAGCCCAACGCTGGGCTTTGAGGAGCCTTGTCGCTGTTTTAAAAATGTGATGCAAAAAGGAAAAGGAATAACGAAATTATGTTTTCCTCACATCACTGGGACTAAGCAAGCATCAACGTCAGAAGGCAGCTTGGCCTTGGCCTAGAATAAAAAGAGGGGACTTTGTGGCCAAACAAAAGGAGGTCGCAACGCTGGATTACATTTACTGGGAGGATGGCCTCGGCTGCGGGACCTCACATCCCTGAGCCCTGGCCTCCTGCCAGGCGGGGACAACTAATTCTCACTACTTTGCAGGGCTTTGGGGGAGGGTGATAAATGTGACAGGCAGGATAAGGCACCCAGTAGGTGCTCATTAAATTCAGCTAACGTTATTTTTGTTATTCTACCCTAGGGAGAGAAGTCCCCATGACCCAATGGACAAGGTGATGGAAACAGTAAACCCCTCTCGGTGCCCCTCACAGTTAGTGATATGTTTAGTCTTCGCACTAATAATGAGTCACAAAGCCAAGGCTGAAATGTGATTTAAGATATAACGAACAGGTGGCTTACAGGTTGTCTGTTTCATAACAAACACAATGACAGATGAAGGGATATACCACAGTAGAGGACACTACAAAAGGGAGCTTTTAAATTATAAGTCTAAAGCAATAAATACTGGACCTTTTCCAGATGAGTCTAGAAAAACTAAAAAGGGACTTGAATGGCATATGATCAATCTAGAGGTCCAATAAATGTACAGGTGACCCTAGAACAACACAGGGGTTAGGGGTGCCCAACCCCCTCCTCACGTAGTTGAAAGCCCATGTATGGCTTCTGACTCCCCAAAAACTTAACTCCTAATAGCCTACTGTTGACCAGAGCCTCACCAATAACATAGTAGGCACTCTGAATGTCACGTGTTTATACTGGAAAAAGATGATGTTATTGTGAAAATCCATTTACAGTATTTTTGAACGAAATTGGCATCTAAGTGGATCCACGCAGTTGAAACCCATGTTGTTCAAGGGTCGCCTGTAGAGCGAACACACAGCCAGTAAAGGACTCAGAGGGAAGCCGAGCTGAGCTTACAGCTGGCGCCTGCTCTTCAGTGTCCCGTCGGGTACTTACTGACGGGAGTGCGGCGAAACTTGTGGACATAAGCACAGTGGTATTCACAGGAGGCGTGGGCGAAACTCCCCTCGGCATCTCTCTTCTCTCCACTCGGTCTCTCAGGAACCAGAAACACCAAGTCGTTCTCCTTTGGATGAAGCTGTTTAGACAGTTCACATTCCTCAAGAAACACTATAGAACAAGAGTAAGTCAGGTTTATCCTAACGGAACTACTTTAGTTTATTTTTCAAACTATAAGAGAAAGTTTATTTAGAACGTTACAGAGGTAGTAGAAGTGAGCCAGCTGGGCCGCCTACGCTCAGGAAACGCGTTACAGAGGCGAAAGAAGGGCCCTTAGGGGAGGGAAAGGCAAAGGTAATGCCCCGCGGGGAAAAGGGGGAGAGGGAAGGCGCCCAGAATTATTTTAAATACAGTTAAGTTAAAGGACCCTAAGCCCTGTACAAACTCCCAGCACGTAGACAGCACCAGTGATTCGCACATACTTCAACACGGTAGTCTACAAATATCAATTACATCGCATCATCAAATGTTTCTTAAAAACTGCTGAAAAGCTAAAACAGATGAAAACATAATATTCAGAAGTAGCTGACACATTTACTTTCCTTGACGTTTATTTTAGTTTTTAATCAAGAAATTTTCTCTTTTGTTCCCCACTTTCAAAATCCCAGGGAAAAAACCCAGAAACAGATCCAAGTACACCTAAGGATTTTGAGCCTATTGGTGACATTTCAAACAAGGGGAAAGGATAGTTGCAAACTAAATGCGGCTGGGAAAACAGCAAGCACCAGAATAAAACTGTTCAGTGCCAACTGTCAAATCCAGCAACAGACACTGAACTCAAGCATGAAGTCCTGACATGAAGCAGACTGAACCACTAACCCAAAAAGATTTTTAAATGCGGCACATAAGAAATATCTACTTGAAGGCATCAGAGAGCACATAGAACAGTGAAGAATTACTCTGTTGAGATCCACAAGGTTTCAGGCCAGTATGTCCCTTACAACTTTGAACTGTTCAGGGAGTGACAGCCAAGAGGCCAAGCAGCACCTGGGATGACCTTGGACTAAAAAGACAACAGCTGGGCCGGCTCTCTCTGGAGCATGCCCAAGCCTTTCTTCCCCAGGCGTGTATCTTTACCTTTTCTCCCAAAGTACTACGGGTCCTCATGAGACTTGCAACCAAGGAAGCAGTGGGCAGCAGCAGCTCGTCCTGAGCTAATCCTCAAACCTGTCTCCAAGGCCCCCCCTTTCTCTGACTTTCCAGTGAGCTGAGAGCAGCCCCGCTTTGGCTCACTTCTTTCCTATGTTTCTAGGGAGCCAAAGCAGCCCTGTCTAGACTCTCCTGTTGCTTCTTCTACCCTAAGCCCTTCGTTTATTTCACTGTCCCCAGTTTTAATAAACATACTCTCAAAAAATAAATAAAAAAACAACAGCTGGAGTCCTGGGCCTGCACAGAGCTGGGTCCCTGGTAACCCTCCTGCTTTCGGTTGGGACCATGAAGGACCACACCCAAGGGTGAAGCAGAAGTAAACTAGCCTTTTTGTGGGCAGCAGCCCAGCTTCAAGTCACCTGGGTACTTTAGAAAGACTCGGTCCCTTAAGCCAGATTACAATGACTCCATTGCCAGTGCCCCCAGGAGCATGGTGGAAGCCAAGGCCAATCCCCTCTGGAAAAAGACAGTATCATCCTAGGCCTCAAATGATTTTTATAAGCAACTTTCCAAAACAAGACCAACACCCATCTGAGATAAGCAAGCCCAAGGAGAGAAGAAATACACAAACTGATAGAATCAGTAAAAAGGACTGCACAAGGCGCTACAGGTCAGGGCTCTCAGCTGAAAACAGACAGGTAAAATACATGACAGCATACAACTGGGATGGGGATCCAAGGCAGTCTTTTAAAGATTTTGCCTTACCTATGAAGACATTTAAAATACCTATCAAAACCACAGACGCTGATAAATCAGGGATGCACGCTGTAAGTTTTAACCCAACTACTAAAAAAGTAAAAGAGGAATAATTTTTAATAGAAAAGAAAAACTGAAACGTTGTTTAAAAATGGAAAAAAATTAAAGCAGCATTCAACCAGAACAAAAAAAAGGAATAAATTTAATAATTAGGTTCAATTGTTTCTACTGTTTTTCATTTTACAGTTGGCTCGTTTTTATTCGCCTCTGTTGATTTAATGACTCAAAGGTCTGAGAGAGAGGGAGAAAGCACAAAAAACTAGCAGGGTCCTGTCAAAGCAGCACCGAAGCTAATGTGAAGGAGCCAGTCAATTATAATGGACAGGAACACAGCGTGTTTAGGTCAGTGCATTTACAAGGAAATGACTTTAAAATATATATGTGTGTGTATATGTGTATATAGATACATATATATATCTATATACACACACACATATATTTTATTTATCTCAGAAAGAGGAAGGAAGAGGGAGAGAGAGAGAGAAACATCAATGATGAGAGAGAGTCATTGATCAGCTGCATCCTGCAAGACCCCCACTGAGGATCGAGCCCGCAACCTGGGCATGTGCCCTGACCGTGAATCGAACTTCCATCTCCTGGATCCTAGGTCGATGCTCAACCACTGAGCCACGCCTGCCCGGCATGAAATGACTTTTGAAAAGCTCATCAGTCAACACCAGTGCCTGCAGGGAATTAATTCATTATTCTGAAAACTGGCCAAGAGTCAAGTACTCATTCTTCCTTTCTTTGTAAAATATAATGCTGAGTAACAAAATAATATAAATTTTTCTTTATAGAACCATTCTAGCTAATAAATGAAGAAATGATCCAATAAAAATATCACCATTACAAAATGTGTCCTTGAATAAATTAATCAAGGCCTTAAGTATAACAGCTGTAACTATTACAAAAAGAGGAGAAACTGGATATCAGGCATCTCCTGATAAAGGAAAATACCATCATCGATGAGAGTTTTGCCAAAAATAAATCATCAGCCTGGCTGAGCGTGGCTCAGCAGTTGAGTGTCAACCTAGAAACCAGGGGATCAAGGTTCTGTTCCCGGTCAGGGCACATGCCCAGGTTGCGGGCTCAATCAATGACTTTCTCATCATTGATGTTTCTGTCTCTCTCCCTCTCCTTTCCTCTCTCTGAGATCAATAAAGATATATTTTTAAAAAAATAAAAAATAAATCATCAAACCCCATTATCCAATTATCAATTTACAGGAACTGCAGAGGATATAAAAACATAATGAACACCACTAGGGGGTTGCAATCAGTAAAATACAGACAGTGAGTAACTCTACAGGATCAATGACCCAAATTCTTCAACAAATAAATCACAGAGGGGAAAAAAATGAATGATATAGTTAAAAAAAAAATCAACCAATGTCAATGAGTGAACTTAACTTGGATTTTAATTCAAATCAGCTGAAAAAAATTGTTATTTTTGAGGAAACTGGAAATTTGAACACTGACCGGCTATCTTGATATTAAGAAACTGTTAATATTTTAGCAACAAAATATTATTTTACTATGATTTTTAAGGTCCATATCTCTTAGAGATATTCACTGAAATAAAGTTACAAATGACCAAAAGCAACCCAAAACACTAACCAAAGGTGATCAGTTAAAACCTCTCCATATAGAACTACAAAACATTACTGAAAATAAACCTAAATAACTGATGACATGAAAATCAGTATTAAAAGATGTCAATTCCTAACAAGTTTTCACACTTTTTCTCTCTAAAATTCATATTGGGAATGCAAAGGGATACTAATAGCCAAGGCATTCTGAAGGCAAAACAGGTAGAAGGCCTTACACATTGGGCATTAAAACTTATTATAGCTCGGCCGGTGTGGCTCAGTTGGTTGGGCATCATCCGTGCACCAAGAGGTCACCGGTTCAATTCCCAGTCAGGGAACATGCCCAGGTTGCGGGCTTGATCCCAGGCAGGGGTCATGCAGGAGGCAACCAATCGATGTTTCTGGATGTTTCTCTCTCTCTTTCCCCGCCCTTTTCCCTTCTCTCTAAAATCAACAAAAACATATTTTTAAAAAAACAACCCAACTTATTATAAAGCAAAGCTAAGGAACTAGGCAATGTGATATGGGCACAAATGATCCAATAAAAAGAAAAATGATCCCAGAAAAAGACCTGCACAGTCAACGGACACCAGACTTGTGACAAATGAGGCTCAGTGGAGCAAGAAAGAATGGTCTTTTCAATAAACAGCACCATGATAGCTCCATCTTCACTAGGGGAAAAAATGAAACATGACCCCACACATCACTCACGTACTAAAATCAATTCTAGGTTGATGAAACAACAAATCCTCCAGAAAAAGGTTGGCAAACTTTTTCTGTAAAGAGCCAACCCTTTTCTTCACAGGCCACATATGGTATCTGCTGCACATTCACCATCGTTTCATTTCAAAGTCCTTTAAAATGTAAACCTTAATCTAGGGCAATGCAAAAACAGGATATGGGGTGGATCTGCAAACCGTAGCTTGCCGACACCTCTTCTAGATGGTAAGATAGTATCGCTATGAGATGCAGCAGGAAAGGGTTCTTAAATGAGGCACAGGGCACTAACCACACACACACAAATGCATTTATGTTAAAAATAAGAAATTCTCATGAAGTATAAAATAAGAATTCTTAGGACATCGCTAAGAGAGTCAAAATGCAAGCTAACATGGCAGAATGGCTTGCATGCCAATTATATAAAGAACCCCTACAAATCAGTAAGAAAAAGGGCAACTAACAGAAAGTGAACCAGAGCCTTTGACAGGCACTTCCCCAAAGAGGTTACGAGACACCTACTAACTCCATGAAAGGGGCTGAATCTCACCATTACAAAGGCTGTCACAGAATAAAACCACAGCAGGCTGCCAATACACACACCACACTGGCTGAAACTAACACAACACAGACGTGTTGGTGAGGACGCAGAGAGTGACTTCTCAGACCCTGCTGCTGGCGTACAATCTGTACAGCAGGCTTGGCATTACCTGCCCAACCTGAACTTAGGTATGAGTCTGCCCTGACACTCAGCAACCCACTTCTGGATGTGCTCCACAAAATGCCCTCACAAGACGACTAAAGGACATGAGAGTGATCGCCGTTCATAAAACGTCATGTGGGAAGGTGAACACCGCAGGCCCAAGGCTGCGACCCTGTGACAGGCCTGCTTACGTGGCTGGCCATTGGCCTCAGGGAACTTGTATTTCGGGACAGTTCTCATCGTTCACTGATGAGAACAGCTCACTGGGCCTACACAACCTGCAGAAAGAATGTGGTTTGTGCCAAGCACCCACTTTCCTTCTGGAAGTAGGGAATTCAGGCTGGGCAGCAGGTGTTGCAGGCACTGAGTCTCTAAGGAGCTTCCCAGGTGGGTGACATTTCACCTGTGCTGTCAGGACTCATGACTGGGAAAGTTAAGTGTGTCCTGTGTGACTCCACTGGGAGAGGACTCGGGAAGCTTGCTCCTGGTTCCCTCCAGGCCTCACTCCATGTGCTTTTCCCCTTTGCTGATTTTGCTTTGTATCCTTTCGCCATAATTAAGTCATAGCCAGGAGAATATGTTGAGTCCCCTGATGGAATCACTGAACCTGGGGGTGTCTTGGAGAGCTCTGACACACAGGTCAAAGCTGTTGGGAAAAACCATCTACCAACAGCAAAACTGTGATATAGTCATACAATGGTATAACAGCACAGTGATGGAAAAAGTAACAAATATACACATAAAATTGAAGAACTATACAGACATGTTAAATAAAAGAAGCCAGACACAAGAGTAAATACTATGTGAATCTATCATATGATCAAGATAAATGCCAGCCCTGGCTGGTGTGGCTCAGTGGTTGGAGCCTTGGCCCGCGTACCAAAGGGTTGTGGGTTCGAGTTCCGATCAAGGGCATGTACCTGGGTTTCAGGTTTGATCCCCAGCCCTGGTCGGGGAATGTGCAGGAGGCAACCAATCGATGTCTCTCTATTCCCCCCCCCC